GCTGTTGTATTAAAGTTTTTCTTCATTACCCATTCAAGCCGTCTCCAGCCATTATTAGATATTAAAGATGTACAACTACAAGATAAAGATCAATTATGAACTGCTTCCAGAAGATGCACACGAAGGATTAAATTTTGACCTGTAATTCCTGGCTTGAGTGGGAATTACAGTCATCTTTTTATGCAGGATATATATATATATATACTGATAAGGTAAACAGCCAACTGAATACTATGGAGAGAGAGCAATAGTTGTTGCATGAGGAGAAGGTTACAACATGGATTGGATTCATGAATAACTTTGTCACTAAGCCTTGTTTCCTCGGATAACCCCCAAGTAATGGATTATACATAGCAATAGTTAATGCTTAACACTAGTGATTCATGTTGATGAATGCATTCATCCCTATACTTTAAGGAAGAGGTGTTTTGAATGAAACACTCAACATACTAGATGGTGATCTAACCCACACTGTACAGAGTGTGAAGATATCATTGGAACATCTTTTGGGGATCAAGTAATCAGCAGGTATTTTCACATGAACAACCAGCATTGTCTACAGATTACAGCCTCTGCTAATATTTGGCTATGGGATCACCTCAAATCATTGATATGTTGTGATGCACCTGGTACACAGACAAGGTGTGAAAGATAGGCAATATCATTCATGAATGGTAGTTGTATTAAAAACTGTTAGCTTGTTGGTTGTGCAAACTTCACAGATACCCTCATGATAATTATTTGTGGAACTGGGGTGCCTTTTGTATCATCTCATTAATTCACCTATCAAATATTTCATTTCTGATGATTAATTTCAAGTTATGGACATTAGAATAGGCAAACGTTCTTCATGTTACAATAATCATATTATATAAAGTACATCAATTCATTTCTTTATATTTATATAATACTGAATAAAGGTAAATTCATATAATTATGAATAATTGAAAAGTCTGTGAACTCCAGAAGATTTTTCAATGTCTTTTTCTCTACTCTGTATAGTTTGAAGTTGGTAGAAATAGAGGATATGGATACTTCTGTTGAGTCCCCCAATGGGGCAGCAGTAAGTTTACTGACTTACAACACTTGATGAACACAGCAGATAGCTCAATGTGGCTTTGCTCTTAAATAACTAAACCAAATACTTCTGTTGAATATTATATATATATATATACATATTTGTTAAGTTTCAGCAAGCTATATTGAACTAAATAAAATATTAAGTAGAAAAATTTCTAAAGTTCCAACATTTTGTAAAGAGTAATGAAAATACAGTGTGAAAGGATCAATGAAGTCAGTTAAAAAAAAACACAACAAGAAAGAATAGGGTAGTGCAATATTGTAACAATATTATACAAAGTTATTCAAAACAGACTTAATTGTAGCAAAGTTGTATTACTATTTAAAGTTGGGAGTTAATTTACAATAGATAAACTTTCTTTAATTAAAACTTCAATAGCAGATGATCCAGATGACTTTAAAATGTTTAATCAAGATGTGATTGTTGATGTTTTCACTATGTGTGAATTGTAGAGTCTGGAGGATTTGATAGTTGTTTACCAGTTTTACTTGATATTTCCATGTGTTCACAGGTGTAACTGGCATATAGTTTTACCAATGTAAGTGGCATTACAACCACCACATGTTTATTTATACACGATCCTGGAATGCATAGGTGTAGGTAATTGGTTTTTAGACCTGAACAGATTTTGAATCTTGAAAGACGTTTTATATATTATTTGTAGTGTAACCTGTGTATAAAAGGTTTTAATTATTCTTAAATTTGTGACTTCAGTATGAAACTTTGTTTACCTATATTGCTTGCTGAAGATGGAATATGTACATATCAAAATGTTCAAGAATTAAATGTTTGTTATCGTACATACACGTGTCAAATATTTGTTATTGTTATCACTGTTCTATTGTTCATCATTAAACTTCGATTCCCATCGAATCAATTTGTTAAAATATTTAAATTCATTGAAAAAACTCTTCAGAAAATCTTCTGTCATTCAAAACCATTTCATTTATACATTAATGTTTATTGAAAATGTATTATGAAATTTCTAAAAATTCACTTTTTCAGCAAAGTAATTTTTTTTTCAATGATTATATTAAAACATTAAGTTATATTTAGTAAATTGATGCATGACTAGGAAGTTAATTTCAAAATGCATGGGTCATGATGAAAGGAAAATGAAACATAAGATAAAAATATCCTTCATGCTTATTACTTGTTTATATCTAACAACTCACTGTTAGCCTGGTCCATTTCAAGTTCATCATCGGAAGACATGACAAGCCTTTTATGTGGAGCTATCTCTGGACTACCTGGTGGAGTTATTTCTTGAGATTTGTTACTTTGAAAACTGCTTATACTGTCAGAATCACTCTCCATAATTGTACAAGTTCTTGTGTTCAGTGACCTTACTGACTGATGTTCTACAACACAATTGGATAAAAGGCTTTGTGCTAATGAATTAATTTAAATGTTCTTTTTTCACAGATATTAAACTAAACTAAAAACTAGTACTTGTAATTTCTAACAATATGTAATTAATAAACGTTCATTATAAAAATAAATTATTGAAATATATGTAACCACTTTACAAATATTCTTAAATATAGAAAAATAATGAGGCAAGAGATAAACCTCAATGTATTTTTCTTACTTTTTCCAGTTTGAAGTTAGTAGAAATGGAAGATATGATGACTATTATTGAATTCATATTTTAAACTCTTTAGTTTTATTTCAAAATAAACTTCACTGTCAGTGAAAGAAAGAACAAACACATGTATCAGGATGTAAATAAATCTGCCATGAATCCAAGATGCATAGTTCATGGTAATATTCTGAGAATGATGCTTTACTAATGAGTTCACAATATATATAGTTCTCAACCATATAGCTTCCATCCTGTTATAGCTTGTTCTAACTTTAATTCGTTCAATACTACATACAAAAGATTTTACTTCTTAACTGATAAATACTTTCACTGAATATAAATATATTATGAAAAAAAAACATCTGAAGAAAGTAACAAACTTTACATTAAATGATTAAAAAACCTATATGTACGTACTGCTTAACTTATATTTAGTTACATTTTTCAGACTTTACTGATACTCACCTTTACTTTTTGTTGAAAACTTGGCTTCAAAAGATTGATGAAGTGAAAGGCCTTCACAACTCTCTAAAGAACCATTAGAACGACAACATTTCTCTGTCCTTTGGGAAATAAAATGTTTTGTTTGACATTATATGTTTCATGAATTTCTAATAAGCAGATGTTAAAAGATGTAAGTTTTATTTTGTTTTGTGCCACATACTCAATGTTATAAGTAAGACTAATTTAAAATAATATCAATCTTGTAATTTAATGAAGAGAAAAATTTTATAAAATATTCTTTTTCACTATCTTGAGTTAGAAATTTTTGCAGGGAACCATCTCTCATCCATATGCTGAGCTCAAAAAATTTACATAATTCATCTTCTTGTTAGTTTTTCTCTTAAAGAAATTGGTGAAGAAACTTCATCAAAATATAGTAAATTCAAAAGAAATATATTGTTAGCAGTATTACGTTCTTTGAATCTCTGCAGTATACTAGGATGTGTAGTAGGGCAAACATAACTGATAAACACTATTCCCATTTATATTTAATTTTTTCATGTCTCTTGATCACTAAAGAATAAAATATAACATAAAATAAAACATAACACACAAAAGATGTAACTTGAAAGGTGACGTTTTTCATTTGTACTTTTTTGAAAAGTATTTGATGACTAAATTTTGCACTTGGAAGTTATGCTGATGGACATGGTCACGTAATGTCACTATTTGATTCAATGTATGAGTTTAAAACATGTGTTTAGCTTTTTAGAAGTATTAAAAAGTATAAATGTTGTTATAGTGTTCAGAAAATAATTTTATAATATTGTTGCATCAGCGAGGTCACGTGACTAGTATCACGCCACTTCTTTCTCGAACCTTCATGAATTGTCGGGAGATTACTAGATTGGGGGTAGTCTGGTATATATAAGATGGTCACAATGTGACGGGACAGTGTGTAGTTAATGAGTAATTGAATGTATGCGGACAAAATATTGTTGGCCACGTGAGACGTGAATTATAGTGTTGTTATAGAGCGACTGTTGAAATTAAGTGTATCGTAAAGTTGTATTCGGAAAGAATAAACCAGTTTTATTTAAGAAAGGACTTGTGTCACTAAAGTTTCATCGGAACGAATTTACGGAAAATTAACTAACGACTGGAGGTGTAACAATATTTAGTAAGTTATAGCTTGTAAGTACAGATTGAATGAGTTCATAAATTTTTTGTGCAGTGAAAGCAAGATTGTGGTTAAAGGGAGGGCAAAAGAATGAAGGAAATATTATCAATTGTTAAATTATTGAAAATGTTATAAGATGCTCCAATGTAGTTTCACATGTCCTTTTAGGGTCACTAATTCTTATATATATATGTATAAGCAAATAGCTGAAATAATAACACTGAAAAAAATTCATACATTGTTCAAACACTTCAGTAGGGTTTAAATCTGTATATTTACCTCACAGTTGAAATAAATATAAGCTAATTTAGAATTACAATTGCTTTTCTTCTTTAACAAGTATGAAAAGGAGTTATTTAAAACATTTTAGAGTTCCACTCAAGAAATAATGCAACCAGTAGAGAACATTTGAACTCCTTTTGATAAATCATGATATACAAGTTTTCAAGTTATCTGAAATACTATACATAAAACTTAATACATAGTTATATAAGTTATTATATATTATAAGTTTTAGAAGTTGTAAACACAATCAAAATTTCTGCTGTGGTTATTGACTTGTAGACAAGAAGCTGTTAACATTGAGATTCGTTAAAGATTAAAGATGAGTGGTAGAAGGTAATGAAATAGGAGAATGCTGTGGTCTTGGGGAGAAAGGAATGATCACTATAAAGGAGAAGATAGGTAGGATGATAAAGGTTACATGAAACATAAACAGCAAATAAATCAGATCGACAATGTCTGCAGGCCAAAAAGACAAGGGAATAGGTCTTAAGGAACAAATGAAAAAAAGGAATACAAGGTAAGTGGTTCAAACGGAGTAAGAGTTAGGGCATAGAGGACCACATTAATGTTCCTATATGGAAGGAATGCATGATCATAGTGAGAACAGGGGAAGTAAAAACCCTACAGTATCTGTAGAAATGGAAGGTATGGAAGAGGGCTGCCCTATATCCAGAAATCAATGAGACCAAAGATCCATGGTTGAAGAGCCAGGTGAGAAATTCCATCACCCTAGCCACTGAAGGCTTGTCAGCAGAAAATCCCCTGCCAGCAGACCAACAGCAGAAGACCTACTACTTGTGCTGGCAAAATTCTATGGAATATGGACGAATGGAAGTAGCAAACAGGGAGGCAACTCAAGCCTGAAGATGGATCTCCTCGCCAAGGACCAGACAAAAGCCAGGCCTATAGATGCAGAACGGGAAGATTGGGATGAAGAGCAGGAGATCAAGGTTGATACAGAAGGGAGGGAAACAGTGAAAGAGGGACAAGTGGTGGGAGGAGCAGACATTGGAGCCTTGGATACCAGGGTTGTGTTGGCCAATGGGGTGCAATCAAGAGGACTCAACAAGAAGTGGAGTGTACCAGAGAAATCACCCGATGAAGCAAATACAAGGGAGTGTACACATAAAGTTATTTATAAGACTAATCCTGGCTGTAGGCATCAACAGCCAGAGCCGGTAGATGTGGGACAGGTGACCAAAACAGGTAATAAGGAACCCAACAACTGGTGATCCAAAAGCAGATATTCTACCCAATGGTAAGCAAGGGCATACTGATCAGAGGCTCTCAGGAAGTGCAGCATACTGATTCTTTCACCTAACTGGGAGAGAAAGTGATCTGCATGGACCCAAATATAAGGAGAAGGAGGAAATATCAAAAATGGTTGAAAAGAATGCTCATGCAACAAAGAAGGATGAAGTAATAAGAAATAGGGGAAAGAGACAAACATTACAAACCTGAGATAAAAAATCTGTGAAAGCCAAGGATGGCCTAGGTGAATCATCATGCTGGAACTGGGAAGGAACGGCAAACTCCGGAGGAGGGAAAAGATGATCAAAATCATCATTATGCTGAATAATGACATCAGACTCTGAAGGAGCTCAGGCAGTGTCAGGGGACAAAGGAATAGCATTCAATCTCCCGACAGACAAAATCAGAAAGATCCACAGTCATGTCGACTGCACCTGAGGCATGAGATAGACGATTGGTCATTGTGGTAATGATGACTTCGGAATTCATAACTCACGAAAACTGCACAAAATTGTTTAGTGCAGAAAAGCGAGTATAATAAACTGGAAGAAATATGGTAATGTGTGACCAAAAAATAAAAAATAGAACCACTTCAAATACAAATCAAAAATGTGTCACATGGGAACACAAAGCACAAAAGAAAATGTCTGTACTAGAAAGCTGCCAAACAAGAAATGAAGGTTCAGTAGAGGAGTGTAGAGAGATTCACATGCGTCACGAGAGCATGCTATGTTACTATTGGTTAATAGATGATATATGATGATTGCATGAAAGACATGTTGGAATGTATTAATTCCAACAAGGGGGAGCACAAGGCTTGTGGCATGCATAGAGAAAATGTTCGCATATAGAGGGCAGCATTTCTTGAATCAAACACACACAATAAACATTGATCACATTCTTAAAATCTGATGGTAGCATACATCTTTTACACAAGTTTTAATGTAGACCACACTGTTTCCTTACAGAATAATAGTCTGGTAACTTGTAGATTAACGGTAATTTAAAAAAATAGTTTGCCTATATATATAGAAAACATGACTGCTAGTATTCATTAAGATTGTACTTAAAATATAAAATAAAATACTAAATTATCATAAATTATCAAAATATCCTAAAGGTTCAGAGAGTGTTAGATTTTGTAATCTTCTAGACAACATGCTAGTAGTTGTTTTACAGTGTATTTGAGTAATATATCCAAATTTTCAGCATTTTTCTCTGAATAAAATAAAACCAACCTGCCATCACCAGTGAAAGGTTCAAAGGTGAAAGGAATGATTTTCTGACATGTATTTTCAGTAGAAGAAAGATGCTTTACATATTCCATGTATTGGGCTCCTGGTTCATACAGTCTACTGCTTTCCCACAATGTCTGAAACTTTAAATATCGATGAGACATCCTTAATTTATTTTTATACAAAATCAGAAATTCAAATATTTAACAAATATATGATTCAGATGTAATGTGATATAGTAAATCATTTAGGGCATAAAATCATATTTAAATTACTTGAATAACTTTTTTTTTTTTTACTAAAAGAACAGAATTACTCACAAGCTGCTAACCATAAAAGGTGCTGACAGCTTACAATAGTTTTATGACAAAGCATTGTTACAATCTATATAATCAACATTAAACACTGATACTAAAATATCTGGAAACAAAAACATGTTGAATATTTTGTAACATCAGTATATACAAGAATTACGTTTATGTTTAAAATACTCAAAGTCAGTTAACCAATATTTTGGAAAATAGTTTGAAAGTAAACTACCTGTTTTATTTACCTGGAATTAATCTAGGATTTGTCTGCAGAAATCAAGTTAGACTATTATACAGGTTAATGAAAGGTACAGAGAGACAATGCATATTATTTAACATTTCTTGGATTGCACTTCAAGGGTGTAAAAAATATATACAAGTGTACATTGGCACTTATACTGAAGATTTCCTTGTGTCTTGGTATGAATTCCCTTACAAAAAAATGTCTTGTAAAATACTATAGGTCACTCTAGAGAACAAAACAGAATTTTATACAATATCTAACAGAAGTATTATATCAGTTGGATTTAATGGAATAAATTAAAGTTCTAGAGAATGATATGGTATTTCTTCTCAGGTTGCCCTGATTTTGCATGGAGTTGTGTGTAGGATCAACAAAATAACAGGAAGATTAGACAGATACTATAATCAAGAAGCACTGTCTGAACTCTCTCTGCTTTGGACTGATTCTGAATTATAAAAATAGAGACTGAAAAGAAGATTGCAAACAATCACAATCTCTATTTAAAAAATATGGTCAAGGTTCAAGTTCAAACCTTGACAAATGCTTTTGTGTTGTGTTTCCAATCGAAGAGAGAGAGAGATAGACATTAAACTAAATATTGCCTAACAAAATCCTAGCTCAGAAGCAATCTATATCTATCTGTGTGTGAAAATCTAGGTTGAAAATATCTATATCAGAACTATATGTGAAAAATATGTCTGAAACAAAGACAGCATGACACTAAATATTTCTTAATGGAAAGCACATGTGATGCCCTTGGTGACTCATTTAGTGCTGTGAATAACTATGGTGAAATGAACGCAACAGTTTCCTTGACCAACATTTTACACTGAAAACTTACGCTGTAATTTTTAACAATTTATCTAATAACTGAAGGAGTAGGAAATGTGTGGTATTCTGTTATAATACAATAGCAAGGTACAAAGTAGGTTAAAATATTCTAGAATATTTTGGTTTATGTGTTCAAGTTCACTGTATTAATTTAAAAATTTATAAATTTCTAAATGTTCAAAACAAAACATATCATAAGACTAGTTTTCAACTTGTTCATATGTATCTTATAGATGCATTGATACATTTTGTCTCTATAGAACTACTATAAGCAGTACTATAAAAATCCTATATGAAAATTTATTCTGTAGGGTTTGTTTGTTCTCAAGTGCAAAGCTACAGAATTATATCTGTGCTCTGCCAACCACTAGTACCGAAATTCAATTTTTGGCATCATAAGCCTGCAGACTTACCACTGAGCCACTGGTAAACTTTGCATGGCTTGTAACTATCGTTCTCATAGCATATCAAATACAAATATTTAGGGTTATCATGTTTCACTTTAATGTAGGTCATTTAATCAATATATAGGATTTGTTTAATATACAACTCCTAAACGATGTTTTCACATGGGAAATTCCTTGAATGTTGAGAAACATTTTCAGCTTGTTTAACCATTTCCTATCCATAATTCACATATTTGCTATTTTAATTCAGTTTTTGTACATCAAAATATAAAATGTATTATACCTATACTCAAAATATTTCATTGAATTTGCAAAAAAAAAATTACTAACATATAAGACTACAAACTTTCTATAGTTTTTAATTTAATTAATTTTAGTTGCTCTCTTTTTTTAATTTATGGTGTCCTTACATTATTGTATTATAATTAATGTTTTCAAAGTTTTAAGTAAAGAAGTTTCCTATTGAAATATGGTTTGTATTCTATAAAAATTAGGCATCTAATTCTATATTGTTTACATACTAAAATGCTTAAATAGTATCAATTAATAGCATTTATGAATATGAAAATCAAACTGAAAACATTTACTTGCTATTTCATAGCACCCTCTGAAGCATATATATATATATGTGTGTGTGTGTGTGCACCTCCCCATATACATACAATTAATTTAGTACAAACTCAGTTTTCATACCCTAAAGACAAGAAAATATGTTGAGTGTCTGCAAAATGACACGTATAGTTACCTGTACAGGAGCAGCTGCTGAAATGGTATGCTGAAGTTCAAAATAAGCTACTGTGACTGTTTTCATAGTCTGATCACACTGACAGAGAAGTTCTCGAAGACGTTGTAGCACTTCTGTCTGAAATAACAAACTTTTATAGTAGCTATGTAACTTATAAGACAAAATGTATTGAATTTGTTGCAATGTTTATAATTAGTATATTCTTTTGCATGAACACAGAAATACTTGAAATAGAGTCAGTACACAGTGATCAATATGATAAGCAAAGTCTTCATTAAAACATGAAATAGATAAACAACTATTTAGTAGCAGCTTACAACAAAGTAAAAAATACAACTTTCTATCTATTAACATAAAATAAAACTTATCTCTCTGTGTCTTTAAGGTTTTAACAAAATAGAATCCACTGGTCATGACACAAAGATAATAATTACAACAGACTTATGTTACAGTGAGGGTCTACAGGTACTGGTAACTAGTGAATGTAATCATTAATCAAAATTAAATCATGTTGAAGTCAACATGACAAAAAACTAACAAAAGCTTTTTTATATTTTATAAGAGAAAACAGAAAGAACTGTTGATGAACTGGATGGGTTTTTTCTAATTACTGATTGGGCATTTTGTTTCATATCTGGGTTTTTATGTATTCTTTATGAAGAACAAAATTTACAAAATAAGGACAAACATGATTGTTATATGTATTTTTACACAAGCCTAACTGAGGTACATGTCATATGTTAACAGTAAATATTGTTTAGGATATCAAATTTATTTTAGTAAAGAAAATGGAGCTTCTTCTGCTTCTTGTTAAATTGTGTAATACAAACCTTAACTCTTTCTATTTTTTCTCCATTTTATCAGCTTCTATGTATAACAAACATCAAAATTTTCTAGCTTGTTTTGCCTCTTGTCAGCTCAAATAACACAAACCTTAACTCTTTTTAGTTTCTTATGCATTTATTAGCTTCTATATAATAAAATCCTTAATTGTATAGCTTCTTTTAATTCTTGTAGGCTTCTGTTATTCAAACATTAACTCCTTCCAGTTTTTCTGTCACATTTAATTGCTATAATACAAATTTTAACTCTGTCAAGCTTCACTTAATTGTTGTTAGTTTCTATAATACAAACCTTAACACTTTCCAGCTTCTTCTGCTTCTTATTAGCCTCTATAATACAATTCTTGTACATTGTTTCAGCTTCAATTGCCCTTTGCAAAGCATCATCTTCCATACGTCGTTTTTTATCAACCTTGCTAGTCTCACCATTTTCAGCTTTTAGGGTTGAACTTTTGGCTATTTCATATTCTTGTTGACGTTGAAAATACAAAAACTTCACCTTTTGCAGGTTGCTAATTACTTCATGCTATTTCAATGACAAATGAGTCATTTTACAGCAAAGTTAGACAAATCTTGTGACGGATTTATTATTATACATTTATATTAATATCGATTTTTGTATAAATTAAATTTATATTTAGAAATGTACATAACTTATACTGTTAAATATGTATTGTGAAACTCCTGCCTATTCGCTAAAGTTTTAAAAGATTCTCGAGTGTAAGAATCAACAATATATGTGTGTACATAAATGCTAGTGCAGCATTTGTATTGTTGCATAATCTGAATATTCGAGAAACTCTCCACACGCCTATAAATATAACCAATGCGATGCACCTAAAAACAGTATCTATTATTTCTTTGCTATAATTGGTGCACTATAAATTTCAGAAGCTATAACTGTGATTGTTATAATGCTTATTAATCAGGATACTTCAGATATTTGACCAGGAACATTTATAAATTTCGAACATTACAAACCATTTAACTTCAGTGGATTAACATTAAACATTAGTACTTTTACGAAAACATTACCTAATGTCATCAGTAGAAAAAAATGCCATGTGATTAGTGAAGACCACAGGGCTAGCTAGCTCCCTGTTAAGTGAATTGCACCTATGTCAACTCAAAATTAACTCGCTCGTCGTGAACCCTCGATAAGACATACAGGAAGTTCCAGACTAGAAAGAAGACTTTGTATTGCCTGTAAGATTGTGGAACTTTTGTATATAAATCATTGTTTGTAATAACTGTTATTGTAAATTATATTATTGTTTGTATATTAAAAGATATTTGTATAAAACAAAGAAAACTGTGTGTATCAATCTTGTGGCAAATATCATAAATTGGATACATATCAGCATTTATTTAAATACTAAATCCAAAGTAAAATTTAACTCAGTTTCAGACCATTTGAAATTGTAATATGTAACAATCTAAAGTTCTCCCAGACATGCATCACTCATCCAAAACTTTTACAGAATCACTATTCTTCCTTAAACAACATTAATCTTATGAAGCAAAAGAAATTTATAGAAAAGGTACAAAAATACCACAAAAATTATATATAAGGGCTAAAGTTTTGTACATGTCACAGTTAGATGAAATAATTATAATTACAATAATTGCATGTATTCCTAAAAAAAATTAAAACATCAACTGAAAATTCTTAAGTTATCAAACTTTATTAGCTCACTTGAAACTAAAAATAATGTAAGACAGCTAGAAAGTGTCACCATGTTGATTGATGTAATGATTTATGAATTATAAACCAAGCCAGAGGAAATACTTTCAACATTTGATTGTCCAGATGTAAAAAGTAATTTTAATAGCATTATTGGTATGTGAATGTTAAAATGTATGTAATGCATGAAAGATAAAAAAAACAAAAAAACTTACCAGTTGCTTTAATTCTCTTCGCCATTTTTCTTTAATTTGTTTTCTTGATCTTTCATGTTCATTTCTTCTTTCTGATAATGGCTAGAGATTAACATAGAAAATCATTATAAAACATTGATAAAAAAGGTTAAATAATCCATTTTTTGGAATTGTAATAATATAATTCCATAAAATTGCAAACAAACATACAGATATATAGCTGTGGTAATTTTCTTATAGTTTTTATAGATTTACACATATGAAGGAAAAGTAGGTTTTGTTAAATCAACTACAAACGTTTTAATGCATAATCACACTAGTAAAAAAAGCGTGTACTCTAACAATTCAAAGCATTTAAAAACGTCATGCTATAAAAATGAAAATATTATAAAGTCTAAAGAAGAAGGCAGAAGAAGAGGAAACCAAGAGTTCTCTATGGTTTGTTTTTGTTGAGTTTCATGCAAAGCCACAAACTCTCTATGAAATATGCTTTAAAAAATTCAAGTTATATAAGTACCTAACTACGAATTTGTAGTGGCAGTAGCCTTTTACAAGATAATCATGTTATGAAAGTCACACATTTGCATTATATTTCAATCAGAGCTATATAACTTGACGTTTCAACAATGCCAGATAGATCTGTTTTAATTGGTGTAATGCATTTTAGTATACATTGCTTATTAATGTGAGATTAAACTTTTTTTTGCTTACCTTCATAAACTTGTGACCCTGTAAAAGGACACAAGTAGACAACCACGCATTAGCATTTAATAGATCTTGGTCCAATGTAGTACAATAAATAGACTGGAATGGCAGGTAGCTCTATAAAAAACAATAGATCATAGTTAATGTCTATATTTTCTAAACATTTCTATGCAAGTTGAATTTATCGCTTGGAAAATGGAGAAATTTTATTATGCTACACTATTTTTAAGCCACTTGGATTTGTTATGAAATAAATAACACACATGGGAATGCTTGTAAATCCCAGAAGAAGCTCCATCTCTTAGCAGCCACAGATAAATAAACAGACTGTTGTTCTTTTATGATGTTCAATAGCACAGACATGGGGAGAATACATGTAGTAATATATCTACAGTGTACCTGGTGCTTTTCATTACTGTTGAAGCCTTACCTGTCTTTTACAAATCTTAAACTTGCATCCTCTTGTTCTATTGTCTTCAGGTTGCAGCATAAACAAATCAGAGGATTTTATCATATTGGCTATCAACTACCTATAAAGTCTTGTAAACTTGAAAAAGATTACTTCTTATTCCTCTTTCCTTAAGCGAAAATGAGTTAAGAAATCTTAGCCAGACCTATAAAATAATTTTTCCATCCCTGTAATCATCCTAATAGCCCTCTACTGAATCATTTCTCTATGAAGTCAAATCTTTTCTTAGATAAGGAAACCAAACTTTTGCACTGTATTCCAAGTGAGAAAAGATTTGCTTAGAAATATAATTATCTCTTTTGTCTCGTAATCGGTATATTTATAAATACATTCTGAAATTTTGTTAGCTTTACTACTAACAACAGAGCACTGCCTGAATGGCTTGAGTGACTTATCCTTTACTATACCAAAACCCTTTTCTTCAATTAAAATTTTTTAAAAGTAGGTTTCCATCTGGATTAAATGTATGAATGTTCCAAATTATAACTAAACTGCATTACCCTACAATTATCCGACACATTCTATAATAAAAGGTCATTTGTAAAATACTTGTTCAAATTAGTAATTGATCCAAGGCATTATTTAATTCCTCAACATCCTCAATACAGCTTGCTGCACAAATTAGAATAATGGAAAGTTGGAAACAACACTAAAACCCTTATATTTAGGAATACATATGCAGACGTGCAGTTATGGAAATGTTTTATTGTATAATGTTGGGATCTCAAAAACAGCTGTTTTGGATTAACATATTTCTTCACAACTAGCTTATTGTACAGTGTTTTTCTCACATGATTTCACAAACACAGACAACCTACAAAATCATAATTTTTGGAAAGACTGTTATTTTACTGACAGAATCAATCTATGTATCACAAGTAGACTCTTCAAGAGTTATTTTCAATATTACCTCTTCTTGTAAAATTGGTCTCATTGATTGAGTCAGTTTGTTAAGATTCCGAGCATGCTCTGCCACTGAAAAAATAAATAAAAAACATTTATTAGCTTATGTGCTTCAAAATGTACTTAACCTTCTCTTAATTATTGAAACCACTTGTTTATAACAAAAAATTTAAAGATAATTTTCAATAAATTTTCTTTGTTACAAGGTATCAATAAATGTTCTCCAACTCTAGCATTTGTATTAAGTTGAGTGACTTCAAAATGAAAATGCCTGAAGTTATGGAGAATTGGGTTTTACCTTCTGTACAACAGTTATAAGCGTGTTAAAATACTTAAAGGGAAGAAGTATTTTATATATATGCATTAACATTTTAATTCACATTAACAGATGTTGGTTTGAATTTCCTAAAAACTAATTGTTTTGTCCTAGTTAAGTATATGAATGAAGTTGGTTTTACTTGAAAAATCACAAAATTCTGTTTTCAAATTTTATTTTGGAATATATTGTTACGTCTCCGTTTGTTAATTAACTTTCCGTAACTTCGTTCCTACGAAACTTTAGCGACACAGGTTCTTACTTAATAAAACTGGTTTATTCTTTCCGAATATAA